ATTGGATGTGTTTCGCATGGGACTTTTGAAAATAATAATTTTACAATATCAAAATTCTTGGAAGGAAAAGTGTATAATAAGACCATTTGCCTTTCCACGAGGTTACATTAGCCTTTAGTTGTTAGATGTAAAACTGGGTGGCTAGGTTTTTACCATTGACTGCACTTTGGCGTCAAGACAAAGCCTCCAGGACTTACTAACATCCCACAGGTTTTTACATTGGGACCTTGAGCTAGTGCTAAATGGTCTTAAAAGCGTATAATGCCATATTTCCATACATGCAAATTAGAATATACTAAATTTATATAATATATGTGGTTTATATAACGCATCAACATTAAAGGTGTACCTCTAAACTATGTTGAAACATTTAGTTGGTGAGGAAAGGCTTATGATGATACGGTACGATGATATGAAAATCTATTGTTCTCTCTAATTGTAAAATTTAAAGTTCCAAAAAATAAGGCAGATTAAGCACATTTATAAAGAATTAATATTTTTGAAAATGGATGGTCCAGATAATGCGTTACAAGATTCATTATTTTTAAGAAAAAATTATAATTAAAAAGGTTGAGCCCTTAAAATGTAGATTTAAAGTACGCCTATAAAATCCCTTAAAAAAGGTTGTTTTGATGTTCGAAAAACATCTATTGATCATTTGGACATCGAGATGGATGGATATTAAAAAAAAAAAAAAAAAAGGTTTGTAAGTCTCAAAATAGATTCTCATGCTATTCTAGGAATTTTGGACACTGAAATTATATCTTGCGACAAATGTTGGAGGTTCGCTTTACTTTGATTATTTTACGGTTGTGCAAAGCACACCCTTAAAAATTTTCAAAATAGAGAACTCTTGAACCGTTTTTCAGAAAGAGAGAGAATAGATAGCGGGACACGTATCATGAAAATAATGTGGGCCTCCTTCTCGCATGGTACTAATAGCATGCTCATGCGTTGCAGGTATTATTAAAATATAGTTTTTAATAATGTGGGTCTCCTTATCTTTGTCTTTTTGTATTTTTCTGTATTTAATATTTGCAATTTCTAAAATCCAATCCTAAGTTGTAAATAAAAAAGAAAAAATTGTTCTCATAAAGGAATTATTTGGTCATAAGTAAATAATCAACATTTTTAATTTGCTAAAAAATAATATATTTACCATAATATAACTAAACATATATTACTTACACGTAAATGATTATTTAGTTAATAATATATTACTTATAATGTATTTACCTCTAATGGTGTAATATATTGACTTCAATTTTTCAGAAGAATATCTATTTAATAAGTAAATATATTGACCACAATTTTTCAGAAGAATATTTATTTAATAAGTAAATATATTTAGTAATATAATTTCAACCAATTTAGCCAAAAAATATAACTGGGAGTGCAAAAAAAAAAGACACGATAAAGACAATTAATTGAAAATACAAATTATATAGGTAAACAATATAATTTACTAAAAACAGTTATTTTCAAATAAATATTTCTAAAAAATATAAATTATAATATAATATAATTTTTATATTACCAAATGAAAAAATAAAACAGAATTTCTTCTTAATTATTTCTTATTAATTAGTGTTGTTTCTTTTCTTATTCTTTTTTTTTTTTTTTAATTTTTTTTTATGTTTCTACTTTTTTGCACTTTCCAAAATCAAAACCTAATTCGAGAAATGCATTCAAATAACTATGATCTAGTAGGAGCCTATATGAAGATCGAATCAGTAAATTCTTTGTTTTCTTTCTTCTATAGTTATAGAATATTTATCAGCCAACTAGTTGTCTATATTTTCTCTTTCCCCTCTCAATGGATTCTCTCTCGCTCTAATATTTTTCTCTCATATATTTATGAAAAACTATTTTCATATTTATTCTCTCCCCCTCTTTACAAATTGTGTCTATTTTATCTTCATTTCTCTTATATTAAAGGAAATTTACTCTTTCTCCCCACCATATTCACACCTTCTCCTCTCTCTCTCTCTCTAAAAAGTCTCTTCCTCTCCTCTCTCTCTCTCTCTAAAAAGTCTCTCCCTCTCCTTTCATACAACGTTTTCTTTTTGGTAACCTCCTATGCATAGAGTATGACCATGCATCTATCCTAAAAGAAATATAATCATGTTTTTATTTCTGTGATATGTCATAGAAATAATTTCTTTTTTTTTAATTCATTTTTTCACTTTTTAAGCTTTTAAAACTTCCAAGATAATTTTTATTTAAGTAAATAATATATTTAATTATGTAACTAGAACTCAATTCAATTATATTAGAAAATAAAT